TAGGGCCAAACTGTTGGCTTTCCTTGTATCCCTCCTTTTTCTCTAATTTTGGTCTGCAAACTTAGGTTGTTAACCTTCCAGAAAAGAAGCTTATTGTTATTACCATACAACCTAGGCTGTTAAGCTTAACCTCACTGTCTGTCTGAATATCAAACATCTTAGGCATTGCAAGGTTTTTTTTTAATTTAAGAAACATTTGTTATGATAATAAAACAATCCAGTGTTGGTATGCCAATAAATTATTATTTTAATGTTAACACTTATTATGAGGGCCGGTGAGATAGCTCAGCTGACTAAGCACCTGTTTTCATAAGCACAGGGACCAGGGTTAGATCCCAAATCCCACATACTGCGCCGGCCCCACCCCTGGGGTGCACTGAGCCAGTCAATGAGTGCGGGTGTGGTGGGGCACACCTGTAATCTCAGTGCTGGTGAGGCTGAAAACAGGAGGATCACGAGTCCAAGCTGCATAGTGAGACCCTCTACCAAATACATAAATGAAAACAAACCAAATAACTTATTTTGTTCCTAGTGCTTGACTAGTTGGCAAACATACTAATAGCAGTTAACTTTCATTCTGTTTTTATTGTGAGCCAGGCAGTCCTTGTGTTAAGAATTACACATGGGTGTGGGTGCACAGCAGTTTGGAGGCTGAGAGGCAAGAGGATTAATGGGAGTTGAGGGCCAGCCTGCCCAGGCTTCATAGTAAGTTCAGGACCTGCCTGGACCATATAGTGAGACCCTGTCTCAAATAAAGCAAGAATTACACATAGAATATCTCATATAATATGCAGAAGAACAATGAGTTAAGAATTATCACACTTATACTAATCAGGACATTAAGATATAAGGTATTAAAATACTGTTTGATTTGGGTTAATAGCCCAGTGACTTAAAATATGCAAAATGAGGGCAGTACACTTAAGTAAAAGTATAGTCGTGCCTCCTATTGTATGTATCAGTACAAAAGCTTTTTGATTTTTGGCTGTTGTTTTGTCTTACCATGGATCAGTTTTTGAGAAATACGTATTTTAATTTTTTTAGATCTAAGACTTAAAGACTATGGGGTGGATCTCATTGAAGTTTCCGACAATGGATGTGGGGTAGAAGAAGAAAACTTTGAAGGCTTAGGTAAGTTGAATGTTTCTAATCCTATTAAACATAGGAGGGCCGAATATCCCAGAATTTTAAGTAGCATTGTCTTAGGTAATTTGAAAGCAGCTTTTTAAAGCTAGCTCCTTGGTAGGTATTGTGTATATTCATTGCTATGTCACGTGAGTCATCTTGGGCCTTACTTTACACTCTCTTTCAGCATTGAAACATCACACTTCTAAGATTCAAGAGTTTGCTGACCTCACTCAGGTTGAAACTTTTGGCTTTCGGGGGGAAGCTCTGAGCTCACTCTGTGCACTGAGGTGATACAACATTTTTCTCCTTAACTTGACTCCTTTCCCTTGTATTCCATCCAGGCTGCAAGCCTATTGATGGGTGCCACTCACACCCAGGCTGGGACTTTCCTCTTCAGAAAGCCACAGTCAGAATGATGCTAACCCAGTTTGGGTACCAATCCATAGATCCCACACCCTTAATCCTAGTAGCACTCACCCTAGGTCCAGCCACCTCCAGAAAGCACATGCGGCTTTCAGGGGACATCTAGGTGCAGATTAAAATACTGTATTGTTTTTTTCTTAACTATTGGGGATTGAACCTAGGACCTCAAGCAAGTGAGGCTAGTAGTGTTATCTACCATTGAGCTACACACCCCAACCATAGTTATTTGTGAATAAATTTTGAGATCCCGTGTTGTCTGGTAGTGTAACCTTAAAAATGAAAGTTTTTATCAAAGCAAAGCATTTACAGAAGTTTCTGTCTCACTAGTTTTTTTGGTGCCAAACCTTAGATTTTAGGATGACTCTTTATGCATTTAAACTCACTTGATTATATTGGAGGTATTAATACCATTGAGTTTTGAGAGAAAGAAAAATGGGGAAAGGAGTATGCTGTGCCCAATGCTGTCTAACGAGACAGGCCATGCCTGCATCTCTTACAGCGATGTAACTATTTCTACGTGCCACACATCTTCAAAGGTTGGAACTCGACTTGTGTTTGATCACAATGGAAAAATTGTCCAGAAAACTCCCTGTCCACGACCCAAAGGGACAACAGTCAGTGTACAGCAGTTATTTTATACACTACCTGTGCGTCACAAGGAATTTCAAAGGAATATTAAAAAGGTGGGCTAAATTTGTAGTCTCTGTCTTCATAAGCATCCCTAGTGTTGTATACATGAGTAAAAGGGTTTACTAACAATGTTCCTCTTTGGTTGATTCTATTCCTTTGATTTTTTTAAAAGAAATGTTATGTTGTTTTCCATCAAGACTGAACTTAGTTGATTTACGTTTTGTTTTGTGTTTTGTTTTTGAGAGAGTCTTGTTATGTAGTTCAGGCTGGCTTTGAACTCACTCTGTAGCCCATTCCTTCCTTAAAAATCACAGTAATCCTCCTGCCTCAGCCCCTTAAATAGGAAGGATTATAGATGTGCACCATTGCACCTAGATTGTACATGTATTTTTTGTAATTCAAAAAATTGCTTAAGTGTAAACAGCTAAAATCTTTTTTACTTGTAAAGCAATTTGTACTGATTTTAACTTGAAGGGCCGGCCAAATAGCTCAGTGGATTAAAGTGCCTGCAAACAGGGACAGGGGCTGGCATTCTGCGGTGCTGGCCCTGCCCCGAGGCGTGCTGAGACAGCAACTGAGACAGGGTGTGGTGGCGCATGCCTGTAATCCCAGCTCCTGGGAGGCTGTAAACAGGCAGATCACTATGCGTCTGATGTAGTAGTGAGAGCCTATAGACCCTTTCCTAAAAATACAAAAAAAATAAAAAATAAATAAAACCAAAAACACTAACTAATTTAAACTTGATTAAATTTTGTAAAAATTGAGAAAATAATATTTTTGCATCTTAGGGCAAAAGTGAGAGCCTTAGAATAATAGCTTGCCAGAAGTGGCCAGTATTAACAGTTTGTCTTTTTCTGTACTTTTCAACTTTATATGCATATAAAAATTTCAAGATAACATCAATTAATATACAGTTAAAATGATCTCAGAACAGTTTTGTAATACAGCTTTGTATGCTTATCTTTTTAGGAGGATAGATATCTTTAAAAAAAAAAAGAAGAACAATTTTTAGGGCAGAGATCACAAGGCCAAAATGAATGTCCTTTTCCATGCTTACATCAGGGACAAGTGAGAGGACCTGAGCCCCCTTTGCAACACAGAGGAATGCTTCTTTGTAGTTTGTTCTGTGAATTTTTTCCCTAATTTTCAAAAAGATATGAGACTCTTGAATTGGATCTTGTAACTTGAGTTATGTAATTCCTGTTAATGTTGAGTCTTTTGTTTTGTGTTTTTAAACAGGAGTATTCCAGAATGGTGCAGGTCCTGCATGCGTACTGCATCATCTCAGCAGGCGTCCGTGTGAGTTGTACCAATCAGCTCGGACAAGGCAAGCGGCAGCCTGTTGTGTGCACAAGTGGCAGCACCAGCCTGAAGGAGAACATTGGCTCTGTGTTTGGGCAGAAGCAGGTAGTGGTGGCCAGTTACTGAAAAATACTTCATTGTGCTGAGTATGGCAGGTTTTATTGTCCTTTCCACTGGAGCGAGAATGAAATATAAGAACTTGGGCCGGCCTAATAGCTCAGGAGACTAAACGCCTGCTTTGGCAAGTGCAGGGACCAGGGTTCGATGGCCAGTCCTGCATAGTGCGCAGACTCTGCCCCTGGGGCATGCTGAGCCTGTGATCCATCTTGGGCATGGTGGCAGACGCCTGTAATCTCAGTGCTGGGGAGCCTGATAAACAAGGATCATTATGAGTCTGAGCTGCATAGTGAGACCCTGTATGAAAAACAGAAATAGAAAAGTTTTTTTTTTTTTTTTTTTTTTAAGTACCTATTATGAAGTTACTGTCTGAGAGCTGCATCCTTAACTTTCTCACCGAACAACAAAGTATCACAGGTCTTGTGTTGATTATGAACAAGGAGAGCTCATGTGTTTGGTTTGTCTTTTCCATAAAAGATTGCAAGACAGTTGTCAAAATTCTGTGATGAATTTCTTTGTACTTTTAAAGTGAGTAGCTTGACCTGGAAGAAAACACATCTTCTCTGAAGCTTGCTCTGATCTGTGTTTATTAGGAAATAATCATGGTTCTTGGTTCCTTTCAGTTGCACAGCCTGATTCCTTTCGTTCAGCTGCCCCCTAGTGACTCTGTCTGTGAAGAGTTCGGCCTGAGCTGTTCCGATGCACTGCATAGTCTGTTTCAGTAAGTAGGCTGCTGCCAAGGGGAGGCACCCAGAGTGTTGTCGTTTTTTTTAACAGTGATTTTTAAAGCTTATATTTTTTATGTCCTATGTAAAACTGGGCATTCTCACTGCTGAGAAAGAGGATTTATATGAGAGACTGAGTTACTTAATTTAGACAATAGTCTGGCTAATGTGCGTTTTGGAGGGGTTTTTGCTGGATGAATCTTTGTTAAAACTTTTTAGTTAGGATAACTTTTAGTTTGTTTTATCTATAATGTTTGACTTTTTAAGAACTTGGTAAAGGTGAAGGTTGTCCAGCATCCTTGTTTTTAGACACTGAACAAAAAAATAGATTCTTCCCAAACAGGACTGATCCTGTAAAGATCTATGGCTCTTATTTTTTCTTTACCTATTTTTGGCCCATGAGTAAAGTACAAAGATGGAAATTCATTTCTTTATGGTAGTTGCGAAAATGCGAGCATCCCTGGGGCGGAGCTCATGTAGAACAGGCATGTCACCAACGCCTTCATAGATGCAAGTTTGCTGATTGAAAGTAGCGTTTGGCCTGGGATCCTGTGTACGAGTGTGTCTGGTGTGAGACCCAGTCCTGAGGTGGATGCAGAGTTTAATGGAGAAAGTGAAAGGTGGGCTTGGCCTCGGCCATTGTGAGTCCACTGCCTCTGAGGGAGTTTTGACTACACAGCTCTTGGGATTCAGAGCATCTGGGCTCTGATCACAATGTTGCTAGTTGCGTGAGAACAGAAGTGGGGTTAGTGACCAGCCCAGCAGCAGGGGGTTTTAGTTGATGTTAAGACCGTGACTGCCCTGTGCTCAGCGTTCTAATGCTGTGCACTCCGGAACAGTATCTCAGGCTTCATCTCAGCCGGCATGCATGGCGTTGGGAGAAGCGCGACCGACAGACAGTTTTTCTTCATCAATCGGCGTCCTTGTGACCCAGCAAAGGTATTTACACCTTTTGTGTTTATGTTTATGTTTATGTCTTTCAAGTTTTTATTTTGGAATTATTTCCTGAGTTTTTCTTCTACAGGCAGTTTACGTGGATCATGGGACTGATTCAGAAACATGGTTTTAAATCCTTTTAGGCATTTAAGAAAGTCAACTATATGGTTTTTTCAATTGTGTGTGTGTCCATGCACATATATGTGTGCATATATACATAAATATACCAAGTGTATGTATTAATTGCTAGTATATGCATTATCATAGAAACTTGCTGTTTGATGAAAGGAAATATTTGAAAACATGTGATAGACTTCATATAGACTTTAGTATAGATTGACCATGTATATATATTTTTGTATATTCTTTTTCTTCTCTTCATTTTCCAGAAAAACAAGGGCCTAGCTTACCTCTGCCTCAGATTAAAATCTGATCATCCTAATAGAGTTACATACATGGGTTTTAAGTGGTTCATTTTTGCCTTTTACATCTTTAGCAACACTGTCTCAGTATTTTTGTGTTCTGTTTACTTTTACTGAAGGAAGGAAGGCAGGGTAAGAGGGAGTGAGGTGGAATGGAGGATAATAGAGGGATAGATATCATAAAAATATGTCATAGGCATATATGAAAATGTCAGACTGAAGCTCAGTATTGTGTAAAATTAATAGGTACTAATGAAAATATATATATTTTATGAAAATATATGTTAAAAAGTATTTGTTACTAAATGTGATTTAGCCTTTAGAAGTTTGCAACTTATATTGTAATTAGTGTGATTTTATGATTTATCTCTAATGCCATTTAATCTCATGTCATGAAATATGTTTCTGCTTACATTTATATGGACTGTCTGAACATTTAAACTGTACCTGCATTTTAGTAAAGTTTCATGAAGAGCATCTAATTGGAAAAAGATTCAGTTTTAAGAGTTGTGTATTTGAGAAGTATCACTTTGAAAGATATGAGGAAACTTTTTAAGTAATGGATAAGTATTTGATTATGGTATAAGTTCATGTGCGTGCACGTGTGTGTGGTTGTATTTTGCATTTCAAAGATGTGCAGTTTATCTTGAGACCATGTTAAGTAAATTATATCAGACATCAAGTATATCTCTTCTCTTACATGAGAAATTCATAGGATAAAGAACAGAAAAAGGCCATAAATGACATATTGTGATCATAGATCAAGGTCTTTTGTAAATGGGCAGGGGATCTAAAGGTGAAGAAAAGAGGAATAAAAAGAATTAAAATGTGTTATGTACGTGTATCTCTCTCTCCCTAAGTGTAATTGTTGTGTACTACAAACCTGTACTAATAAGATGTCACGTATGTGCAGTTTATTGCATATAAGTCATATCTCGCTAAAGCTGTATAAGTTTAATAAAATTTGACCAATTTGGTGATGGGTTAGAAGAACATGTTGTTAGGACAATGAGAGAGGGGAATGTTTATTCTTTGCTCATCTTTGTTTCTTGGGCAGGTCTCCAGACTTGTGAATGAGATCTACCACATGTATAATCGACATCAGTATCCTTTTGTTGTTCTTAACATTTCTGTTGACTCAGGTAAGTTCCACTGAGAGTAATTACATTTACACTGTATTGGTGTCTTTCGTTTGATTCCTGAAATTCTCATGTATCATCTACGTGAGATGAGGCAGTGGACTCACAGAGAAAGTATCATCTACTTTCTCTAGGCTCTTAAGAAATGCGTATGTACTTACCTTACAGTACACACACCACACCCAGCCTTTCAGGTGTGGAAATAACTTGCTATCTTGCTCTCTATTCTAAAATGTGAACATTTTCCTTTCCATATCATATATACTAAGAAACATGACATTAATACCTATATTATATTCCAGTGAACAGTCCATAGTTACACTTCAATTTTTAAACTCTCTTATGACACTAGGGATCAAACCTAAGGCCTGGTACATGCTGGACAAGTGTTATACCATTGAGCTACCTCTCTAGCATACTAATTTTTTGTTGTTGTTGTACCAGGGATTGAACTTGGGGCCTTGTGCTTGCCAGGAAGCCACTTATGCCACATTCTTTTGGTTTTTAATATTTGTTTTTTAGAGTTTTGAAAATTGTAAATACTATCTTTAAGGAATTATGGGGTCAGAGGATATAATTTTAAGGTTTTTTCTGTACTGCATTCTAGGCAGTTTGTACCAATTCATATATATATATATTTTACTTTCAGTATCCAGCAATTTTTTAAACTGGGACTCAAACTTAGGGCACTGTGCCACTGAGCTATATCCCTAGCCCTAGCTATATTTTTTATATTAAATTCAATGGAGGATAAAATACTTTGGTTTGCATTTTTTTTTCTTGTATATTTTTCATGTGTTTTTCTTTTACTTTGTACGCATTCAACTTCTATTGGTTTTTGTTTGTTTGAGTCAGGGTCTTGCTGTATAGTTTAGGCTGGCCTTGAATTCCTGGCAGTCCTCCTGGCTCAGCCTCCCAAGTGCTGGGATTACAGGCATATGCTACCACACTCAGAACAGTATACCCATTTAAATCCTTATATATATTGTTTGTTTAAAAAAATAAGCTAATTTTATTTTAAATTTTTATTTATCCATTCAGTATGGTGCTAGAGAATGACCTCAAGGCCTTTGTACTGAGCTATATCCCTACCCTTTTTGTTTGGAAAAGTGGCTTGCTAAAAATGCCTAGGCTGGGCTTTGAACCTATGATTCTTCCATGTTATTCTT